AAAAAAACTTTATTTTTATGATTGCTTGTTTTGTGATTAGGTAAAAAGTAATTCTTATCTACTGTCCCCTTTTTCTGCATTATTCTTTCTTATCTACTTGATAGTTTGTTCAGAAGAACTAGTAATTTATCTAACATTTAGTATCTAATATATAATTCATCTACAAAGTCAAGTTTATATAGTAACTAATTCTTCTATGGAAAAGTATTTGTTGTCCTTACCACTAGATTTGAGAAATAAAATTTATTTCAGATTGGTGGTTAAACTGAAACACAAGCAAACCAGACCTGAATGAAAACTGTAACTTTGTTCTTACACACACCATGAAAAAAAAAAATCTATGAAATAAACTTTTTAGTTTACATCTGGGGTTTATATTTTGCAATAAATGTCACTGTATTTAATTACAAATACTATGTGAATATTGTTTCCTTTTCCCTCAGATGAAAATATTCAGGACTGACATGGATTCGCAGATATTTTAGGCTGCCCTCCAAATACGTTTTTGATAGATAGAATAAAATTCACTGATGTCTTCTGAATAGCCGTAATGACTACCATGCAATGTAGCGACCACACACAACTAATGACCGCAGACTGTATCATCTCCATTAGTTTGCCAGAGTTCTGTATTTTTTAAATTATTTTGCATTTTGTATTACTCCACTTTAAACCAAAATTAAATGAATCCAAACTTGTTTTATCACATAACTGCATGCATGCTCATGTGGCACCTGAACATGAGTTTACAGGGCATGTTGCTGTAAGGACAGCTTCTAAAATCTGTAAACAAGCTAGCTTAAGCACAGGGACAACAAGTGTAACAATACAGTCTCCCTTTTCTTGTGTTTATAATAAAATAATATGTGAGGAATTAAAATAATGAGGTCATGGAAGACTTCAGAAAGTGGAGTTCCAGGAGGCCAGCTAGTCTCTTGCAAATTTTAGAAGAAGAGATGTATTAAAGGGCACTGCATTTAAAAAAATGGAGGAGGAACTGTGTATGATAGTTAAAAGAGACTCCCTCCTGCAGGGGATGGTGGCTCCAACCTGCTGACCCGACCTGATGGAGGTCTGCTGCTTGCCAGGGGCCAGGATCCAGGATGCTGCAGAAGGACAGCTGGACTTGTCTGGCCATTGAACTGTTACTACCCCTTCTCGCTCTTCAGCGTGGGCACCAAGGATATGGCCAGGGGTAAAGCTGGGTGGTTTCAAGGGTAATTGCAGAGCACTGGGGGGATGGTGAAGGGCAGGAAGTCCAGATGGTGTCTTCTCAGTCCTTCCAGGGAAAGGGAAAGGCTTGAGCAGAATTGCACTCATCCAGCAGGTCAACATCTGTCTGAGTGGCTGGTGGCACAGGCAGGGCTTTGGCTTCTACCACCTTGGGACTCTTTTTGAGAAACAGGGGCTACTGAGCAGGCATGGGATGCATCTCACCAGCTGAGAGTGTCATTGCAAACAGGCTTGCTAACCTGCTTCTTGTGCTCTATGTAAAGGAGTGTCTTGAATACACAGAGCTCTGTCCTGGGACAAATGGTGAACTGGTAAGAAAGCTTGTGAGTAGGCATCAGAGGACGGACCAACATAGGTGACAATGTAGTAGGTGTTTGTTCCAGATCTCCTGATCAAGAAAAGGAAGGAGATGAAACCGTCTTCAGGAAACTTGAGGAAACCTGGCAGCCACAGGCCTTGGTACTCAAGGGAAACTGCCCTGGAGGGCAAAGTTGGTGGTTGATCTACAAGGACAACCTCCTCGAAGCATAGGAACGGACTATTCCGGTGTGCAGAAAATGGAGCAAGTGTGCCAGGTAAGCATGGCAGGGCATGAAGCTTGAGTCTGAGCTCAGAGACAAGAAGGCAGAAGAAGGGATTTGGGAGGAATACAAAGACATCATCTGCACATGCAGGAATGGAGTCAGGAAAGCCAAAGCTCAGCTGGAGTTGAGACTGATGAGGAAGGTGAGAGCAAGAAAGGTTTTTATGACTGCACTGGCAGCAAAAGGGAGGTTAAGGAGAATGCAGGCCTGTTGCTCACTGAGCTGGGGGAACCTAGTGACAAGGGACATGGGAAAGGCTGAGGTATTTGGGGCCGTTTTAGCTCAATTTTCACTGGTAAGGTTTGCCTTCAGGTTTCCCAGATATCCTGATCTATAAAACCTTCACTTAAAACCTCACTAAAGAGGAAACCAACAATCTCAGCAAATTTAGTTTATCAGTGTTAGACATGAAAATATGTGACTGAAATTATGTTACTCATGGTGTTATCCTTTTTCTGTTTGCTCCCAATGCAAGTAATTTCCAGTTGTGAAAACAAGATATAAAGGTTAACTGTAATTCAATATATGTTGGTCATAGTGCATTAGTAAAACAATACAAGTTTATACCTGGCAGTGGTAAAGCAATACATTTTGCAGTACAGTATTTACTGGACCTTGACATAATTAATAACATGAAAACTGCTAGTGATTATTAAAAAAATTCTAGGCAATTCAGACTATTGAATATTCTTTATAAACCAAATACTAGGCATATTAAAAGACATTAAGAAGTATGTATTGCTTTACTGCAACGCACTTTTGTTCTGAGATCACAGAGAGTTTTCTACAAGCTTTCTTTGCTGCGAAGGCCAAGGGGTTTGGAGAAGCAATGCAATTTCATAGCAGTTAGTTGGGCTTACAAGAAAACTCATCTATGAAATAGCAAATCCAGTCCAGACTAAGAAGTTCCAAACAGTACAAATCTAGGGAACGCCTTCAATCTGCCGCTAAGTGGCCAAATCTGGCCGTATTACAGGCAGTTTTTTCCTTTGTAGTCCCCATCTGCCACCCTATGGCCATCTGATGCAATCCTGCTCAGTTACACTAGTTTAGGTCTACTCTTGCAGCAGAACACAGCAATCTCACTCCTTCCCTGTCGCTGCAAAAGGACTTGTAAAGCCAAGGCCTGGATTTGACTTTCAGTAGCTTAAATCATTCCCTCGATAGCCTGTGATTATTCACACTGCCTTTCTTCTTTCTCTCACATTTATTTTCTTTTTATTTAACATTATATAGCTTCAACTTTTGGACCAACAGGTGCGTTGCTTATACGTGACATCTGGATAAGCTATTTACATTTCATATACAGAGAAATTTCATTCACCTCCATCAACTCATATTTGGGAATTTGATGCACATTTCTCTATTCAGTATTTACTGAATTACTCTACCATCACAGAGATGCAGTCACCACTGGAATGACTCCAGTCCAAGGCAGCCCCAACAGATCTCAGTGAAAGAAGTGTCTTTTCTGAGTTTTGCCACAGCCAAAGCTGTGATATGTTCAAGTCTTGATTAACCGTGCTTCTCCTCTTAGTCCCACACAGTCACAGTCATCCAGTGTATCTACAGCAATATCTCACTCAGGGGAACAGGGATAAAAAAATGGGGTAGGGTGCCTGAAAGGCGCAACCACAAAGGACTATGGTGCTATGTATGAGGAAAGCTACACCATACAAGAGAGATTCATTTTCTTTTCACCCAAGTGTATTGGTAAATGCAAACATATGTATTAATGTTAAATGTAGGTGAAGAAATTCCTCTTACCTTATACTTTATGTTGATTTCATATCTAAAACACTTGTCTTTGTTAGAATGACTTATTTGGGGTCGTTGCCACTGAATTATGCAATCATTTTTAATTTCATCACAGTTGACAGTGATATTTGATGGAGGCATGAGCTTTTCTGAAATGATATAACCAAGAATTCAAATAAAATCACTTGATCTCTTTTTGCTTTGAAAAAAGATAGTGCAGTTGCAAGTAACACCTCTATGAATAAAGATACTAAATTGTATCTACTTTTCTTAGGAACTCTGTTAGAAATAATTGAAAGACCAAAGTTCTTTGAATCCTGTCCCCAGGATCAGAAAAAAACAGGGACTAAGCCAGGAAACATGACTTAGGAGCATATAAAGATACAAGCCCCCTCCATTTACTTTTCAAGATGAATAAGGAACAGTCCTGTCTTCTTTTTATAAAGATACTTTTTGCTGCAGAAGAACAAGCTAATGCTAACCCTAATGTAAGAAATCCAAAGGTCATTTCTTTCCTCAAGCATCCTTACATGATTCTTCTGTGTCATGAAGGTGATGTTTGCTTGATGGTTTGCTTGATGTTGTGAACTACACAGTTTATTCCCCCCTTCCAAAAAAATTAGCTATACAAATTTAAGAAAGACATTTAAGAATCTAACCAACTTCTTCACATATGTCCCCGAATTTCATAGATGTGAGCAAAAATACGAGGACCTTTATATTTTGATACTTGTAACACAAAAGACAGTCACTCATGACAGAAAGGGTGATAAAAACCTGATAGAGGAAATCTTAGTTTGAGCTAGACTACTACTTTACATCAGTCTTTAGAGACAGGCCTGGCCTGTTTGTGATGGGCTATTTAATCAAAGAACAGTCTTGTTTCATCTGCCATAAGTGATATTACAGTTCAATTCCTTCTCCTTATAGAATGAAGCCTTGTTTGTCCTTGTTTTGGAGACAATATCAAAACCAGTGGGACTTTGCCAAAAAGGCTTTGCCACAGTAAAAGTAATTGCACAGGATGCTTCCAAGTAGAGCATCACATGTGAGAGAGTATATGAGAACCTGGGGTATTCTTTAATCAAAGGTATGATGTCAGTGTATGCCATTCCCACTGGCAATGAGAAGCAGAAATCAGTGTTCAGATAAACATCTCCTGAAAAGTCTCCTCAATTGAAAGGTCTTTGGCCATCATTGAAAGGACAGCAGGGGGAAGTACAAAATCTGAAGTCCTGTGGACCTTGCTGGAGAAAAACCTAAAATCAATAAGGGTAGATTGCTAAAGAATCTGGAGCAGGCTGCAGCTGTGGAGCTTTCTTGCTCAATTACCCTCATTGCTCTTTTGCTTGGGGAATAGATTTTCTTGAAGAGGCCACAGTGTCTTACTTTTGACTGTAGGTGAGGCAGGGTACTTGGTTCCTTCTCAGGGATAAATGCTCTAATACCTCATGCGGTAATGAAAATAAAGCAGAAAGAAATTATTTACTTACCAATTTCATACAGTTGAATGTACTCATCATAGAACTGGATCAGGGAGCCTTTGCTAGACCCGTTCACCAGGAAGTAAGCTTTTTCAGTCTCTATCCTCACATTTTGGAATCTACATCCTATGTTTCTGCCATTTTCATCTTTAACGTAAAGCTCGCATTCCATCTTCTCGTCCTCTCTGTATACAGCAAGGTATTCTAGTTAAAGGTGGGCAGTGTGATGTGTCGAATGAGAATTCAGACTCAAGCAGACCCACTTACCTCGAGTTCTGCCAGTAGAGAAAATATTGGGTATCTCCTGGAGCATCCCTGCCTGCCTGCCAAGTGCAGTTCATGAGGGAAATGTTATAAATCACACAGGAGAAGTTTTCAATGGCTGACCCGTTCGTGCCTGCAAACACAGAAATGTCTGTGACGGGGAAAAATTGTGCGACTGCTCCAAGCTGGAGGATCTTGGCACACACTTAGATATGTTAGACGCCTGCAACTCCAGCTGGTTATTGCTTGGGTTAGGAATGACTTCATTTTAGGTAGTAACAGTGGGAGATATTTACACTGACAGATTCAATGAAGAATTTGTTATGGGTAAATCCTCCAAAGGTATGATTATAGCTGCATCTGAAAAAATAAGTCTCAGGGGAACCTACATTATTCTAGTACAGGCTGACACCTAAAGTGGCTATCTCTGTGCTTTGAATTGTTCCATTCAAAAGGAATCATTCGTGCCACAATGCCACAAAGTGAAACATTTGCCTGCCATCCTTCAGCACCCTGCTGTAGGATTTCTATTGGAAGGATGTTCTTCAGTACCCTGTCAAAAGAGTGGAGAGCATGAGAAGCTTCCCTGTGGACTCCAGAGAGGGAGAGAAACCCAAGTGCATAGCTGTGAAATTTTTCAAGACTTCAGGAAGGTGTAGATGTAAATTTGTGAGGTGTTTGTGCTCTGCAGTGATACCTTCTTCCACCTCAGATTAACAGCAG